CTAGCCAATGTACGTTGAGAACAACATTCCAAAGTACACCATTTACATTCTGAAAAATCATTTAAATCTTCATAGCTGCATTGACAATTTGTTACTCGTTTTTTATTGGAAGTTGATATTGTATTTCTAATAAATTCGTATTTAGAAAAACGTTCTACATCATGTTCAACTTCTTTTCGATTATGAATAGAACATTTATTATAAGTTTTTTACAGTAGAGTATAGAGTCAGACTCACTCCCAACTGGTTCAAAATGTATTTTATCAATCTTTAGAAAACCTTTTATACTATTTATTTTATTCTTTTTTTTCATCAGTTGACAGTTTATAATGACCAAATTTAGTTTTTTTCTTTAGACATAAAAATCCTTGTATATGACAATCTCGTTCTTGAGAAACATTATAATTTCGTTCATATTGATAAATAATATGTATAAAAGGACAAGTTGTTTCATCTTCAAAATACGTTTGAATTAATTGATCAAAATCTTGACGATTAAAATCATAAGTAACAAAATTAACATAAATCTAAGAAGTGGTTGAAAAAGATGAAAAAGACATTTTTAAAGATTAAAGAGAGAACTTAGAACACATTATTTATAATATTCTTCAAGAAAAAATATACACTTTTTTTTCACATTTTTCAACAAATTTCTTCATTTTTTTCTTTCAAAATTCATAAATTTTTCGCAATTTTAATTATTAATTTTCCAAATTCGGATTTTACGAATATGGTAGTTCATTGAAACAATGAACTACCATATTTGTATTTTACGAATTTGGAAATCAAAAGACTCATTGTCGTTCCAAATTCGTATTTTACGAATTTGGAATAGATTAACAATTCATATATAATTATATGGAATGTACTAGAAATTTTATACCAATATAAAAAATAAAAAAAATTGAACAATTCGTATCTCACACAACATTTAATTTTTAATCTGAAGTTTGTATTTTTAATTAAAATTTTATTTTTTTATAACTAAAATTTTATTTAATATTTTTATTTGTGTTATAGATTTTATTCAATGTCATCGACCGAAGAACAAACCAAAAAAATAAAGAAAAAGAACTGATTAAAAAAGATAATCAAGAGAATAAACTCGGTGTTGATTTTGAAATAATCTTAAAAATTAAATTCAACAAAAATGTTTACATTCCTATCAATCATAAATTCAGTTATAATACTGGTATTTTAAGCATTGTTATAACCTTAATAATGTTTATTTTTATAATTTATTACTATTTTAAATAATAAATAAATTATATAATTTTACTTAAAAAACAACATTTTTCTAATTCATGTAAAATTTCACACCAAACAAAAAGCTATTCACAAATGATGATTTCAGATCTAAAAGATACTAAAAATTTATTAATTAATTATGTTAAATTTGTTTAAGAAACTATTCAAAAAATGCACTAAAACCCCCAAAATCAAGATTATACTGATTATATACATCATAATAGAATTATTGTAGTCTTTATAGATTGTTAAAAGTAAAACTATCACTAAACAAAAGACAATAGTATGTATTTTTTCATCTTTTTGTTCTATCATTTGATCTTTATATGCCATCATATCTTTAAAAAATATTCTTTCTTGTTCACGTTCTTTTCTCTTTTCTCTATCTTTTTTTATAATTTTTACATTTGGCATTTTATATAACACGACTTCTAAATTTAGATTCTTTAATGAATATATTTATAACAAAGAATACCAGAAATTTTACGGTAATTTTCAAAAAACGTAAAATCTGAATTTAACGAAATTTCACTTAAAAAAAGATACAATGTCCACAAATGAATAATTAATTTTAATACAAAATGCATTTCGTTTTACTGGAAATTTTGCCAGTATTTTTTCAGAAAAAAAGATCATCCGGAGTTTGCTTTTCAAAAAAGTTCTCTAATTAAATTTTGGAGAACCGTACGCTGATTGGCTGTACTATTTAAAATCTGGCGGGTTTTTCTAAAATCTAGCCAATTAGCATATGGTTCTCCAAACGGTTCTCTGCCGATCATTTGCCGATCTTTGACTACTTGCATGAGTGTCACTATATCGATAACTGCCTTTTTTAACCACTATTAATTAAACTTATTATAAATTCTGTACCACAATTAATGACCATCAGAATGATGGTTCCACCGGAGTTTTGTTTTCTTAAAAACGGTTCTGTTCTCCACTTTTCTAGAGAAAGTTTTTAGGAGGGGATATATTTTTAGATAGAGTTATAGATGTATTTATTTTTATAATAAATTAGTTCTCAGTTCTCTGTCTTAAGGTAATAGTATAAAAGAAAAATAAACGTTTATATTTTATATTGTTTGCTTAACTATATTTCTTTATTATTCACTTTATTACTTACTGCTTATCGTTCATTCACTTAAGTTAAGATTTATTTTTTATTTATTATTTATTTTTTTTCTCACATACTTTATTATTCTTTTAATTCTAATAA